ATATCCCAAAACATCTACTTCTTTGAAAATAAATTTTTAAGAAATGCACCAAAAGAGCAAACATCAAACATAATGGCCACCCTCATTTTATGAAATTGTTGCAGCATCCACCAAAATCTCATTAACATCAAAGATATGATTTACATCATTTTGTGTGCTTGGCTGTTCAAAAACTGCTGAAATTGGTAATACAAGCAAAACTTTGGAGGTTCTCTTTCATCAGGAAAGAGAATCAGGTATTATGAGCACGTTAGTGAAGGTGTTCTCACCTTACTTGACTACTCCTTTAGTCTAATTTTTTCCACCTCCAAGCTGCCGCTGTCCAAAAAAGTATACAGAATTCAGATTCAATTTGTTCCTTTATTTGCCCCCAAATCACCATGTTGATCAAGAGATTTAGAGGACCTGATAGAGCAGCTGCCTGAACCCTTTATATAATATATAATAACCCTTATAATAGGGGGACCGGAAAGTAATGTTGTTTCTGCACATGTCGACAACAACATGCTAATGGCAGAAGTGGAAGCAAATCCATGTCAAACACTCTTAACCAACCTTGGTCGACCATCCAAGAACATTTAAAGCAGAATGGAAAAATAAGCAAAGCAGGTGTTTGAGTCCCCCATAATCTGTCCGAAGAGAACAAAGCCAACCGATCCATCACATGCAACGTATTGCTTCAACGGCACCATACAGAACCGTGTTTTGATCATTTGATTATTGGAGACAAAAAAATAAGTCTCTATATGATAATCCAAAACTGCAAAAGGCAGTTTTAATAGGGGATACAAAGGGTTTACATCCCTAAAAGGCGTCTTCTGGGTGTTTGATGGAGTATTCGAGGAATTGTTCATTTTGAATTGCTGAAACCTGGACAAACTGTTAATGCAGACCTTTATTGTGAACAATTGGATGGAGTGAAGCCAATCTTTAATAGAAAAATATCAGGCGATTGTCAACAGAAAAGGCGTCATTCTGCAACACGAGAATGCAAGACTGCACTGTGCAACTGGCAAACACTGGAAAAAATTAATGAATTGGGGTGGGATGTACTGCCATACTCACCTACCATACTTGGCCGATATCACAGCATTCAGATTTCCATTTATTCTCGATCCTACTACATTTTCTTAGTGGCCAAAAAATTTGAAAATTTGTATGATGTCAAAATGTTCATCTGGAGATATTTTATTCAAAAACCAATTGATTTTATATTGGTCCGGGGATTGAAAATCTGCACACTAGATGGCAAAAGGTTGTTGATAACGAGGGTGATTACATTATTGATTAAAAATAAAAACGTGTTAAAAATTTATTCGTGGGAATTTAATGTAAGAAAACGACATTACTTTCCGGTTCCCCTATTAATATAGGACTAAACAGCCATAGTCTGCTCTGGGGAAGTGAGAATGCAAATCCCAGAGGTAGGCAAACTGAGCAAATGATTGAAGATCACATTGTCTCCTCAACAATAGATGTAGTACCTACTTTCACAAGCCTATGAGGACATTTGGCACATTGGCATATGTTCATCTTTTTTGCCTTTTTGTAAACTTTGTATTGAAAATAGTCCTCACAGTAATGATAATTTTCCCATTTTTGTGTCTCTCGCATGAAGAGTAATTTCCATGTTGATGTTCATACTCGATAGGGAAGACTGGGAACTCTTTTCATCTCTTGCACAGCTCAAGGAAATGATGGTAAAAGATGTACTTATTGATGATGCAGTTAAAATTGTTGCAGATATTATCATTGAGGCAGCTACACCTCTTATAACTGTGATATCAAAGCTCCCAAAGTACTCAAGACCACACTAGAACCGAGAATGTCAGAAGATGCTGAGACAACTGAGAAAAACTGGGGGAGATTAGTCTAGCTACCGAACACTGTCAAATCTTCTAAAAAGCCAAAAAAAAATGCAAGAGTGAGATGTCAGAACCAAAGGGATTCATGGATATCATATGTGCCATCAATAACATCCTCAGTAAAAGAATGTAGGAAAGATTTAGAAAGGCATGTGGACTATATAAAGACAATTCACTTTCCTTCCTTGAAAAAGATGGCTAAGTGATAAGCAGAACAACATAAATTATGTACACTGTTGCTGAGACAATTGCTTCCATATCTTCCCGCAGCAGTTTACCTGGAAGTATTTCTTTTTGTCAAGTTGCATTATGAGAAAAATCCATTTGCATTTAACTCTTCCAACTTCAAGCTTTATGGTACTGAATTTACTATGCTTGAGGTAAAGAGAGGTTTGTTGCAGATGCATAAGTTTAGCCCATGTCTGGATAGCATCAGTTATGAAATGCTGACGTATTTATCCTATTAATCATTGACTGCTCTTTACAACCAAATATGAAAGAAGGGTAACTTCCCTAGTACATCAATGTGAAATCCAATCTAGTGAATCAAATGTGAGAGAAGGGTACCTTCCATAGTACATGGAATAGTATTGCTATTCCCAAAGCTCAGCCAGGGAAGGACCCAAAGAATTCCTCGAACTATCAGTCCATCGCACTTATAAGTTGCATATGCAAGAATACAGAACATAAGTATTTTATCAGTAGCAACACGAAAGCTCACTCTCATACATAATTATCAGTAACAGATAATTATATTTATTTAAGTATATATTAAAAACAATTTCAATGAATTTTTTCCAAATATATTACTGTGCTAAAATTTTTCTTTACGTTTCCTGTATAGTTATTACTACAGTATATATAATGCAGAAAGTTCTTTCTGTATAGTAAAGTTAATTAAAAATTAGCATGGTTCAACTGTGTTTGCACTGGGCTGCTTAAAGGCCCATCCACACGACTATGCTCAGAATGTAGCTAGCGAAAGCACATTTACGTTACCAGTGAAACCGCGTTCAAAGGAGTATGCTTGCGAAGAGTGTGTTTAACCAATAGAATTATTTGGCACAAAAAAGATCATGTGATGCTGTAATATAGTGTTGTTCCCTTGGTCAACAGAGCTGTCATCTTGTTACTTCGCTGTGTTTCTATATGTTTGCAGCAAGATGTCAGAATCAGATGATTTTTTTCATAGCTGAAACTTTACTATTACGTACAATTATTAAACAGAAGCAAAAATGCAAAAAAACGATGAAAAGGGGTCCGAAAGATTTATTTAAAGTGACCTGTTACTGTTAAATTACTTGAAACACCATCCACCATATAATAAAATCAACTTTATATTTTTAATCTCCCCCTCCCTTGGCTTCTTTTATGTGTGGTGTGGATAGGTGTAAATAATCTGTGTACTAGTAAGTATCTATATTGATTATTTTCTCTTATTTATACCAAATAAATTGAAGAAAATTCATTCATAAAATTTCTAAAGATATGCTTTTTAAATTTTTTATAGTGTACAAGCCCCATCTCTCGAAACGTTATTGCCTGTTAAAAAAAAGCCATTTGGTGCAAAAAAATCTGAAAGCTTTAGGATTTTTTTCTTTTTGTTTTGTTATTTTTTTATTAGAATAACCTTTACTTTGGACATTTAATAAAATTATATACCGATAAAATGTATGAGGTAAAAATAGAGATGCGATATCATTACATAGAGTTAATGGTTTCTTTTTCGTGCAATTTTTAAACTAAATTAAAAACAATAATAATAGATAAAATAAGAAATGAAAACAATAATAAATAAAATAAGAATATAATGAATCATGATTAAAGAAACACATTTCAAAATGAGAAAACCGAATTTTTATTTACAGTGGTTACGGGTGAGGTTCAAACTCGCAATCTTTCCCTTTGCAATCCAGTGCGCTGACCACTCAGCTATCTCTGATAGCAATTTTTGCGAAAAATAATGTAAGAAGTAGAAATCACTGCAAAGGTATTCAATAAATGACTGCCAGATGACCCAAGTTGTAACTGTCCTCGAAAATTTCGTAAGTGTATTTTATTGGATACTCTTTCATGGTCAACTGCTTTATTTTAGAAGTTGTTATATTGTTGCGGTTAGTTTTTGGTGTATTTAATATTGGGATATTATAGAGCTTTTTGTTATACATGAAATAGGGAACACTTATAATAATTAAGGATAATATTACAAGGCAGAAAAGTAGATTTCATAGAAACTGTAATTTATTTAGATTCCTATTACTTACGGTGTCATATACAGATGAAGCATATGGATATACCGGTTGGATCATTGCTTTATAAGTATACAGTTTTTTCCCTTTAATGAGAATTTGAAATTTATACCAATATATATGGTTTGAGAAATTAAAAGATGCCGTAAACAATGCTGATGATTTTATTGCTGTGGACAGTTACAATCTCTTTGAACAAAAACTCATCTCTGTGTTGTTCTGACGCCATATTGAAATGGGTAGGCAAGAAGTTTTTTATAATTGTGACACATGATAAGAACTGTCTGCTATTGGCTGTTCGTTCACGTCACGGACAAAAAAGCAGAACATGAGCAAACTCATTTTTACGTCTTCTGCATAATGCAAATTTATGCTGGCAAAAAAAAACAATAGTGACAACTACGTCATGAGCATTAAAACTTGTGTGGACAGGCCTTAATGCTCTTGCTACATTTAGTATAGAGAAAGATATTTTATAATATTCTTAGGTGTGTGTTGATTGTTGCAATAATAAAGTCATATAGTTAATATTGTAATGTTTATTTCTTTACTCAGTGTCTTTGTAATCTGTGGGGGGGTAAAAAAAGATTTTTATTCTTTTGCCTTCAAGAAATTGTATGGGGCCCAAAAATACTAAAATATTTGTTGCATGATGAATATGATGGCTAGCCTTCATATGGTATTAATTTGCTTTCTTCCCTTTCTTTTTAAATGTCAAACAGTAAGCATTATAATAATAGATAGTATTTGTTTAAAAATGTAGTGATATGAATGTCTGGCGTATGTAGTGATATGATATGTAGTGAATGTTTGCCGTTTCTGACAGTATTTGAAATTTATTGCAGATTTCCTCAGTATTTGATAACTGATAAGAAATCTCTTTCAGCCTACAGTAGATAATGATTTGGGAACAAAAAACAATTTGGTATCAGTAAAAAAATCTGACTTTGAAGTATTTGAAGCTTTGGCTGTTGATAGTATAAGTTCAAGTAGCGGTGGTGGATCTAGTATGTATGCATTGCCCACATTTATGTAATTTATGTTTCTTTATCTGTGCTTTAGTTAATTTTCCCTGCATTTGTATTTTTTGTATAAAATTAGAAAATAAAAAAATTATATGTAATATTTATATTGACAGTATAAAAGCAAATATTATCAAAATATTTTTTATGTTTATATAAAATTATTCGGCCCTATAAAATGTGTAAATTGAAATAAATTATGAAAATGAAAAATTATAATTTTTTCCCATACAAAATATCAGTGTTAGTAGATGAAAAGCTGCTTTAAAAAAAGCTCCTAATGCAATCATATTTTGAAAAAACTCATGCTATTAAATTTGAAAACAACCTAAAAATACTCTTAAGTCATAAATAATTATTTAAATTTGCCATAAAATTTTGTTAAAACAGATATAAAAAAATGCTTCGTCCTCCCTCAAATTGTGCTATTTTGCATCAGACTCTTAAATGTATGTTATATCATGGAAGTAGTTTTTTAAATTACTGTAATTCTCATTTTTTATGAAATATCAAATTTTTTATTAATATTTATGCATTGGCAGTATTTCAGTGTTTTTGAAACATTCTGTATAGCATTCTGCATTGCAGTCTTGTGTAGCTAAATTAAATAAAATGTCAGGTCTTCCCTTAATGTTATACTAGCTTCTTAAATTATTACCACCAGAAGGGATGGTTGAATTTTTTAGTAGGCAAAGTTTAGAATAGCTGTCAATCTAATCTCCATTACAGTTTTGACAGATGATATGAGGGCTGGAATCTGAGAGCTTTATATCCCTCTTCACCATGCCACCAATCACTCTAGAGGACTTTTGGCTACACTGATAAGTCATGCTGCAAAACCACTGCAAAGACCAATTTCCGTTCTAATGCAGAATTTCATTTGAGAGCTAATGGCATGGAACTCTGTCAGCCTCTGTTGTGTTGCCATACCATCTGCAATTACAGAAGAGTGTGTTGTGTGCACATAAAATCTTGTGTAGCTTTCTGTATTTAAAGCTATTGGAAATAATTTTTTATGTAGTGAAAGCTTGACTATCTGGAAGTTTCGGGAAATGACGAATTCTGGATACGTGAAATTATGACAGGTATTTCTCCAGCTTTCTTAGCATGCCTTCGTGGTATAGTGGTCAACATACTCGAGGCATATTCGAAAGGTCCGAGGTTCGAGTCCTGGGGGGGACATTGTACAATTTTCACTTCTGCATTGAAATAACCTAATGTTTCTACACAGTCATCTTTTTCGCTATCAGCTTTGGTATCAAAAGCCTACATTTAAAATTAGGTAAGATTTTAATAAAGAGTGTATTTCGTCAGTTTTCAATATAAGAAATTAAAACATCCGATTATAAAATGCCAAACATACCCCAATCATTCTAGTAGAAGCTTTGAAGAAAAAGATCGTTTTTTTTATTTAATTAGAATTATAAGATTTAAGTCACAGATATAGTGCATCATAAACTTAAATGCATATCAAATTTTTCATGTTGCTTCACCATTGTTTATTTATTTAAGAAAAAGTTCCATGTCGTTCCCATTAAAACATGTTTTTCTTTTTCACAATTTCGTTGTAGATATTTAGTGCAGTGGAATGTTGAATGATGAAGGCTAGCTTCCATCACTTGCCTTAGTTGTTCAACATTCTCAGATGTTTATTTAGATCTTGGGCTTCCTATTGATTTTTCTTTACTTGCTGATCTTGTTCTGAAATTCTGCACAGCAAAATCATGTTACAAGAAGGAACATGACTGGGTTCAAATGCCTTTTGTAAAGACCTTATTTTTATTCTAATCAATTATTTTTATTTTAAGAAACTTTCCCTTCTGATTTCAATTTCCTGCCAGAACGCAAATTTAAATGACATATATGCAAAATCTCAGTGAGTTCAGAAGTAATATGTAAGTAGCAGAATTGAAGAGTTAGTTACATCTAGAGTGGGTTACACTGAGAATGAGTTTATGCCAAGTGTTCACAAGTAGCCCTGTAGCTGAATATTTGTGCTAAGCATTTTAGATATATTGATATTTACACTCGGGTTTGTTGTGTGCAACCAATAAATTTGATTTAGATTAAAATAGGAGCCGTTCGTGTAGCTGAAATTTGCTTCATTCGGATTGTACCTACTATTTTGTGTTTAAGTTACTTAGCCAATAGAGGCAGTTAGTTTGTGAACACCGAGTTTGTCCATGTTCTGTTCAGTTTAGTTAAAATAAAAAAGTTGTTATAACTTTTGTTGGTAGTTACCCCTTTTTTCACGACATAGCAAGAATTCGCTAGCTTGTCTTCAGTAGGCTCTACATTTTATGCTCCCAAAAAGTACAAGAACACTTTGTAAAGTAAAATAAAAGTACACTTTGTACTAGAACGCTTTAATCATCATTTTTGAAGTTTTCCACTGTGCAAGCTCAGTGCACAGCATTTGTATCATATTCATATGTAGTTTTTATTTTTATTTCATCAAAAAGAAAAATTACGAGACACTGAAAATCTTCCCTGCCTTCTCTATTTTCATCATTTTTTCTCTAACTATTCATTATACCTTGTTGCAGTTGAAATAATGATGCCCAATGCCTTAAGAGTAGCTAAATGTGGAAGAGGATACTTTAGATGTTTCTGAAGATAAAGATATGCCTCTCTACATAAATAGTGTAATGTGAATGCAGTTAACAATAGTTCATCATCCCGTCTCACTTTCGTTTTCTGATCAATTAATAAATTTTCCTGTGATGTAGTAATACTTTTTTTTACAGCACTGGAAAGTTTTTTTTTTTACTTTTAATGTTATTTTTAAACTTCTGTCTTCTCAACTGTGTCACTTCCTTTTTCAAATGCAGTAATTGTTTCCTCAGGAAGCAAATTTCTTTATTGGTGGATTTTTAACATTTTCTGGAAAATTTTCAATTTTTTTTGCATTGTTTTCTTTCTGCACATCCTGGTAGGAAACGTTTTCTAATATGTTCTCTTCCAGAGCTTCACCATTGTCACTTTGTCTGAATGTTCCAACATGATTTTGAGAGGGAGCTTTTTCTAGCAATTCAAGGGCATGATGGTGACTCATGAATATGTCACGAATCATGTTCTTGGTTAACAGGATCTTTTGACCATATAAATAGAGAAGGAACAGCCATTTTCTCCAGTATGTGAAATCATTATAAAATAGCTATTAGTGTATTTTTAACATAAATTAGGAAATAGTTAATTAATATATTCAACTCATTATTTTAACATCTATCATAATTCAGGAAATTATATCAATTCATTTCAGTTAAAATACAGTTAAGGATTCTTGAAGCATATAGCTCTGTAAGAGGAAAAATGTATTAAAATATGGGATTCTGTTGCATTATTAAAAAAAAAAAAAAACCTATACAATTCACTTCTTTATTGACTAAATGATTTTCATTTATTTCAGTAATTTTAAATTACAACTTTTGTGTGAGTCTTAAAAGATAAAAAATAAATAATAATAATAATAATACTAATGATAAAAAATAATACTTTTGATACTTTTATGATAAAAAATAATACTTTTTGATTCAAATGAAGTTGAAAATTTACAAGAATGAAATTTCAGTCTCTAGCCAAATAATAAAGATAAAAGCTATATCTAAATTAATGCGTAAATAAATACATTTCCAAATGCAATTTACAGAAGAATAACGAAGTTGTGCATGAAATAACAAAACAGAAACACGAGTTATTTACCCTTTTATGTGGGAAGTCCAGTAACTCTGCTTGTAAATCTCTCTTAGATGAGTCTGCAGTAAAATGGGCAGAATATATCTTAGAAAAGTTTGGATTCCATTTATCTTCCCCACAGCAGAGATTGAAATATTTTCTTCTTAATATAGGATCACTTGGAAATTTGTGATAAACTATGTGCACAGATAAATTTTAAGTTTATTCTAAATTGTTGCTGCAAAGAGCAATGGCACATCACATTCCAGTCTAAATGTCTTCCAGTCTAAATTCCATCTAGTAAAAATGTAGAAAGAAAAAATTTCAGAATAGTTTTTTTTTTTTTTTTTTTCATTATAAGTATTACAAATATAATATCCAGTCTAAATTCCATCTAGTAAAAATGTATAAAAGAAAAAATTTCAGAATAGTTTTTTTTTTTTTTTTTTTTTTTTTTTTTTTCCCATTATAAGTATTACAAATATAATATAAAGATATTCAGTAAATATTTTCACCTTTCAATATAAAAATATCAGTTACATTACATTAATATAACACAATTTTAATATATGCATACACATTTTTATAATCTTTATTCTGTAATTTAAGTTTGTTAATAAAGTTGTTTTGACACAAATAAATACCAAATTCTTCTACAAATAAGCTCTGAACTTAAGTTTATTGTTTTACAATTACTGTAAAGGCCCATATTTTCGCGGGCCATAATTTTCGCAAAAATGAATATATCGATGATTTCGCGAGTTGAAAATTTCGCAAATTTTATATGAACAGAACCGAAAGTTGAAAATTTCAAAAGTACCTAAGTAAAGTTGAGAAACTTGAAAAATTTCAAAAGTACCTAAGTAAAGTTGAAAAAGTTTAAAAATTCCAAAAGTACATCTTTTGCATAAAGCATTTTAAGAAACTTCCTTTTGTCCGAAAAGTTCGTCCCCCCCCCCGTTCCCGTCTAAATGGCGAGTTCAAGCGTTTGCTCAAGAATGAGTTTATTGAGTGGTATTCTAATGAGTTTCAATTTCTAGAGGAAAAATCTGTGGATTTGCAAATATCACGACTAAAACCGATTCACGGTTCTTGGTTTGTGCGCGTATTTGACGGTATTGAAGCCAAACATGAGATAATTTTGAATGGCTTCAAAGAAGCTGGTATAAATAGTATTGTAAGTGAATGAGCTGCCTTCTATTAATTTTATTGTTTTATATTCGAGAAATATTGTTGTATATTATTCAAAAAATAGTTATAAGAAAGAAAGCTGTCAAGAAAAAGCTTGTAACTGTACAATAAATCATTAA